TCATGGTACATCATAATCAGCACAATCACTTAATCTCCATGGTATCCATGAGTTCTGAAGGCTCCAACAAGTGTATGGGACACACATCAGACTCATCTTCACTTCCTGAAGCAGGATATTCTTGTGMATCAAATGCAAATTTCATTTCTTGGCCAACCAATTCAGCAAGGTCCTGCCTATTGGCACTTCTGTAGGCATCTATAACAGCCTTAAACAAGGATTCATTGGGCTCTATCTCTCCGTATTTTAACTGGCTGTGGATCCGCTTCACTCCTTCCAACATTCCAGCTTTTCCATAACAAACTACCAGATTAATAAAAGTAACAAGATCAGGTGCAATTCCCCTGTCTTGCATTTTCATGAAAATATTCAAAGCTTTCTCTACTTCCCCAAAAGCTCCATAAACATAAATTGCAACATTGTAGGCAGAGAAATCAAGACCCACCTCAGATTTTGTGAAGGTTTCACAGGCTTCCAGAGCAAAACTGTGCAAACCAACCACAGAGAACATGGAAGCTATAACAGCCTGTCTAGCAAAAGGTTTTCCCTCCCTGAAAGATGTTTCTAGTTGCATAACAGCCTCTAMAGGAAAACCTCCTTTCTTCAACACAGTAAATATTACCTTAAAGGTCGTAATGTCAGGCAAAATTCTCCGAGCCACCATCTGATGCAACAATTCACCACATTCTCTAAGTTGTCCATTTGTGACATAGGATGCCATTACTGTATTAAATGAAGCACAGTCCCTAAGCAAACCTGATAGTTGCATATCCTGAGCAATATCGATTGCTTCATCAAGCATGCCCATGCTTTTGTATAGGTACATCATTGTTGCAAATGAAACTCCATCTGCCTGGCCATTTTCTCTCAAACTATCGAATATCAATTTCGCTTCAGATACCATTCCTAGGTCTGGATAGAGATTGATCATACTATTTGACGCAATGATATCAGCACCACCCTCCAAGTCCATCATCTTCTGATACAATTCCTGTGCTCCCTCCAAGCACCCCACCTTACCATAAGCTTTTATTAACGAGGTATATACTATGCGATTTGCAGGAATCCCTGATTCTTCCATCATGTGAAAATAACGAAGAGCTTCTTCAACCTTTCCAGCTTCKGCAAATCCATTTATCAAAGACCCATAAATAACTTCATTTGGTTTGACGCCTGCTCTTCCCAACTCCTGATAGACATCCATGGCATCRGATAGTCGGCCCAAACGAATGTCACTTGCAATAACAGCAGAGAAGGTTGCACATCGTGGTTTAAATCCTGCCTTTTGCATTTCAGATAAAAGTTCATGTGCTTCATCCACTAAATCACCTCCTGAAAGCATTTGGATAAGAGAATTATATGTGCAATCATCTGGCCATGTTCCACTGCAYCTCATGTTATTGAAGATTGAGAGAGCTCTATCATAGAGTTTTGCCTTTCCATATGCTTTAATCATGACATTGTATTCTACCACATCTTTCTTTTGTCCTAACAAATCCCTCTTCCCAAGGAAGATARACTCCGCTTCAGCCCAYAGACCCTTATCTGCATAAACATCCATAAYTGCTGCATATGTTTTTGTTGAAATTCCACTCTCAAGCTGACATTTTTCAAGGAGAACCTTTGCCCGATCAATCAATCCTTGATTGACATACATCCTAATAATTACAGGAACAGAGTGCTCATCAATATKTACCCCATTTCTCTCCATTTCTTCAATCACATAATTTAGTTCTTGAACCATGTTCCTCTCACACAAAATTTGTATAACAGCCCTGTGAGTTACACTGTCAGGGAAAAGACCAACAGACCTTATCTTCTTGTAGCACTTCAGTGCTGCATCAATGTTCCCTGCATCAGCATATAGGGACAGAAAAATGTTGTAAGTCTTTGYGTCAGGAAATATTCCCCTTTCTTCCATCTTACAGAACAATGACTCAGCCTCCAACAAATGCCCATGAGCTCCGCAAGTAGAGATCATGGTATTAAAAGTAAATACATCTGGTGCTACACCAGCTTTCAACATCTCTGCAAAGACATTAGATGCATCCTTCAGATGACCTGCCTTTCCATACAGATCTATCAGCGTATTATAAGTAGCAGCAAGTCGAGGCTTCTGAGCAGAACCTTCCCAGTCCGCAGAAGACAGTAGTTTTGATGGAGGGATTCGTCCTCCGGTTCTGAAAAGCTCAGTTGACAAGAAATGCTTGAGACTAATGGGATCTGAKACAGATACAGAATCAGCAATATTATTCAGATCAAGATCATTTAATTCAATCCGCCCAGCACACCAATTCTTGAAGAACCTAACTGCACGATCGTACTCTCCAGCCTCTTTGAGAACTCCAACCACAGTGTTCATGGTCACCTCATCGGGGAATAGACCTCTTAGCCTCATGTGTCTGAGCCATAAAAGCGCTTCTTTTACCAGACCCGCTTTTCCATATACGTCCACAAGCATTGCGTACGTATTGTTTGTTGGCAAAACACTGTCTCTGGCCATTTCAATCCAAACGAGCCGTAATTCATCCCATCTCTGAGCTCTTCCGAGAGCCCTAAGAACAACATTGTAATGAATTACATTAGATATGTAGTCCTTCTGCGATTTCATCCAACGGAAAACACTGATAACACGTTCCCATGTGCTTTGCTCTTTCAGAATTACAGTCTGTTCTTTGGGGCTGAGCTTCCCAGCCCAGGAATTTAGGATCTCATCAATGTCGCCTTTAGACTCCATAGCGCGCAAAACTGAATTCAACGAACCTCCATAAGTCCTCCTTTTCCGACCGTTGGAATTTTTTCTATGGGAGACTACAGCTCTTGTGTGGCACCGGAGCTTAAACCCTACAGAATCCCTATTTCCCCTGGATGTTTGCTTTCGACCGCATAGATTTATTCTGTGACCTAAGTATTTTTCAGTCTGGAAAGCAGGGAGAACAGAAGCTGCAGAACCGCCACCCCTCGTGCTTCGGCACCGGCTATGGAGGTTAAACCCTAGAKAAACCCTAGCATCTCTGGAAAACCAAACAGAAACCCTAGTAATGAAAGGGGATTGGAGGGTTTGAAGCATACGCGGAGAAGATAGCTGACTTTGGATCGACTTCTGGAAATTATTTGGCCCTAACTCTCTCCAACTGCAACAGTGTATCATCGTCGACGGAATTTTTTTTGCCTTCGTAGGTGAGCCCGAAAAAGATGGCGTTTTCGATGAAGTGGTTGAACGCCAAGTTGGTTTTAGGGGAGACAAAGAGAAATCTGACCACGAACTTTCTGTCTCAACATCTGTACCTGTTTCTGAAAATACATCATTCCGAGAGGTCTAAGCTTTCCCCTCGTCGGTTAATTTAGCTCTAAACCACTCCRTACTTGGGGTTCTTGTTCACTGGAGTTGGACACCCCAAGGAACTTCCCGAAGTCCAAACACTTTCTCCATCTACTCTTCAATTACGACGTGTTCCTCTTTTTGCAAATCGGGCAAGGATTCCCTCGCCAGTTCCCCTCCGATGCTGGGCTCTCGGCTCTCCTTGCTCTAGAGGCCAAGCCTCACCGACCTGCAAAACGCCTCAAAACTGGGTGGAGAGGTCTTCACAGTTTCCTCGGGTGTTCCTTCAAAGTCTGGAGTCTCTGCCTAAAAGTCGAGCGAGCAATTTGGAAAGAGTATAAAGGTATTCGAAGTGGGCTGAGGAGAGCCCAACGCATGATTCTAACCTAAAGGTCGGGCGAGCAACAGAGATCGGGTTACACTAGTGCGTGCAGATAAATTTACATTACAACCAAACGCAGCCTTAGGCTCAATTTAGAAAGAGTATAAATAAAAATATATACGCTRCAAAGTCTTCTATTTTGTTTTTAAAAGTTGTATTTGCACTATATAGATTGGTATTTGTACTCTTTCCAAACTAAGCCTCATGTTCATTTTTCTCTTCGTGTGTATATATTTTTATTTGTACTCTTTTCAAATTGAGCCCTAATTTGAAAGGAGTATAAATACAAATATGTAAAGTGCAAAATCTTACATTTTATACTATTTTCTATATATTTGTACTCCTTCCAAATTGAGCCTTGAGGCTGTGTTTGGTTGTAATGCAAATTTATTTGCACTGATGCAAAATCATGACATTGCAAATGATTTTAGTGCAAATTATGATTTATTTTTATTTCAAATTTTACCTTATTTTGTTTGATTGTAATATAAATGAATTAAATAAAGACTTGAAGCAAAATAAATTAAAACCCAAAACAAATTTAAACCAAAATTTRCATTCTTTTCATTTGCACTCCCATGCAATTGTATTAGTGCAAATAAAATTGCACTACAACCAAACAAAGCCTTATGTTCACTTTTGTCTTCGTGCCCTAAGCCCCTACTTCTCCTCTTTCTCTCTTGCCTAGCTGCCCCCACCCACTACTCCTTCCATCGATCACAAGATTCACAATAGTACTTCTTGATGTAGGCACATTTGGATGGCCTCTACAAGGCTAACGCATGTTGACTAGAGGGTGCCAGCATAGGCTTGCCATAAGGACACTCAGGGTTACCCGTCGCGGACCCAATCGCAGGGCACCGCATGGCTCTGGCAAAACATCTTACTAGGCCCTGGTACGGCTCACATCTGGACCATCCGAGCATAACTACCCCTGGCAACTCTGACTATAAATACAAGGCACCGCCCACAAGGTAAGGGATTCGAAACCTTTGTGATCTCTAGTGCTCTCTCCTCTAAGGACTTAGCGCTATCTGAGACCTCGTCTGGACCCCTCGGTTCCAGACTCGTTGCTTACCTTGGGCACTTACTAACTTGACCGTTGGAGTCCTCGCCTCGAGTTATCACTCGAGGCATTTGACACCTTCTCCCTTGCAGATCCACAACTGCAAGACTCGCATCTCATCCTCCCTCGGACACCCTTCTCAATACTAGCCCTCATCTTCTACAGTATCCGAAGGAGCGATTCGCCTCAGCCTCAGCTCATCTCCTCTGGACCRTCAAAGCCTTCGGCCTTCCTTCGAAGCTTGGAAGCAAATTTACTTTGTTGCCCTCGACTAATCCGAGCATCAACAATTGGCGCCATCTATGGGAAACGTTGCTAAGACGATTCCCTAAAATACTACAAACGCAAGATCTCCTAAAGCTTCAGACACCATGATACGAAGAGCCAAGAACCCTCAAAACCTAGTCGCGAATGAACAATTTCAGGCGGTCCTCGACCGTTTGGAATATTTCACGCAACGTATGGAGCAAGCCTACCCCCAGACAGGAGGTCTCTCCTAAGGTGACCACCTCGCCAGGGTGTCGGATCACCAGGGCTGACCTGAGCACGTCAAGCCCCCAACACTCAACCTGGCCGACCCCCAACCGAGCCCGCCAAGTCTAGCAGCAGCCGACCCACCAGCCCAACACAGAGAAATGTGACGCCTCCTAGCCGAAGGGAGGAAGAGCCAACATAGTCCGAAGACAGTCGCCAACCTTATGAACAACACCTCGCCACAKGAGGGAGAACCCCCAGGACGAAGGCGGGCACCTCGGTTGTCGCAGCGCCCACTCAAGGGTCGAGGGCCGACGCCGCGCCTCTCCCACACCGGTCTCAGACCTCTGCGACGTCTTGAACGACCGCCGCACCAGACGGGAGGCACGCGGTCCTACCTCGGAGCATTCTAGAGTTCATGTCGACCCTCACCATGTCCATGAAAACAGAGACGGGTGGCAAGCTCCAGCCAACCCTTGGATTGTAGAGCTGTGAGCCGAGCTTGGGGCCATCAAAGACGAGCTCCGCCAAGTCCGAGAGAGCCGGGCTGACGCCTCGGCTGATCAAAGCAATCCGATGGGGAGAAAGGATGTCTTCACCCCGGATATCATCTCCGAGCCTCTCCCCCAACACTTCAATGCTTTCACACTTGAGATGTACCACGGGACTTCGGACCCCGACGACCACTTGGAAAGTTTCAAAGCACTCATGACACTCTATGGGTATTCCGACGCCTTGATGTGCCAGAATTTCCATGCCACTTTCAAGGGGGTTTCCTGTCATTGGTTCTCCAGCCTCCCGCCTTGGTCAATCAGCTCGTGGGAGCAATTTGCCAACATATTTCTTGTTCGATTCATCAACAGCAAACGATGCCAGAAAAGCATAGTCTCGCTAATGTCTATCAAGCAAAAGTAGGGAGAAAGTCAGTGGTCCAATATCGATCACTTCAAAAAGGAAGAACTTGAGGTCCGTGACCTCGACCCCATGGTCTCTATGCATGCTGCCATCAATGGGTTCCACAATGCTCGGTCGCCAAAACCCTGTCGAAGACAAAGCTAGAGTTCCTCAAGAAGGCCCAAAAGTACATCGCAGCTGAAGAGACTTCGGTCGGGGACCACCAAGAAAGAGAAGTCGAGCGCCACAACGGGTCCCCTGAGAAGAAGAGAAAGGGCGGAGACCACCACCACAACAACAACAGTAGCAAGGACCACAAGAAGCCACTGGCCTCGGCCCTAGCTTACAACCAATACACTTCGCTCAACTCTACCTGGATGTAGATACTAATGCAGATCGGGGAGGAGAAGTTCATGAAGTGCCTGAGAAGAAGAAGAGGAACCCCAAGAGGGAATCCCAAGAAATACTACAAGTATCAATGCAGCACCAACCACGACACCGAGGGATGCTATGACCTGAAGAACGAGATAGAGTCCCTCATCCAATGAGGGCACCTTAAACAATTCGTGGGTGGCAAGCCCGATGTTTCATCCTCCCAACAGCAGCAGCAGCACCAGTAGCACTAGCAGATAGCCGGCGTCATCGACGTCATCGCTGGGGGCACAGCCTCGGGTGGAGCCTCGGCCCGCAAGGTCTATGCCAGGCAGTTGAGCATCCACAGGCCTGCCCCTAAAAAGCCAAAGCAGTAGGAAACCCTCTCCTTCACAGACGAGGACTTGAAGGGGGTCACAGTCCCCCATGATGACGCTTTGGTGATCTCAGCCATCATTGCAAATTTCGTAGTTAAGAGGATTCTTGTCGACACTGGCTCCTCGGCTGACATCCTCTTCTACGAAGCCTTTCAGAAGATGAAGATAGCGCCTGAGTGCCTCTAGTCAGTCGACGTCCCACTAGTCGGCTTCTTCAATAACGTGGTCAAACGGGAGGGAAGAATTACCCTACCTGTCACGGTAGGGACCGAGCCTCAACAAGTGACGAGGATGAACAAGTTTTTAGTCGTGAGGATCGGATCACCCTACAATGCAATCATGGGGAGACTGACCCTTCACATGCTCAAGGCTGCCACCACCTCGTATCACCTCGCTCTCAAGTTCCCTATCGAGCACGGCATCGAAGTCGTTTGGGGGGACCAGCAAGTAGCCCGCCAGTGCTATGTGGCAGCACTAAAGGGCAAGAACAAGGAAGCACTACCACTAGAGGGTTTCGACCTCGGGGAGGAACCAGCAAGCCGAGGCCAACCAGCCGAGGACCTCACCTCGGTGAGGTCGAGCCCGAGAAGACAGTCTGTGTCGAGTCCAACCTTCCCCCAGGAAGCCTAGTCGAACTGGTATGTTTCCTCAAAACTAATGCAAACGTCTTTGCTTGGTTCACCGTTGACATGCCTAGAATTGACCCTTTGGTCATCACTCACAAGCTGAGCGTGGACTCGACCTCTAGGCCAGTTTGGTAAAAGAAGAGGAACTTTACACCGGAGCGTTGGAAGGCTATAGAAGAGGAAGTTGGCAAGCTACTCGACGTCGGATTCATCCAAGAGGTATACTACCCTAACTGATTGTCAAATGTGGTTTTGGTAAAGAAGGCTAATGGGAAATGACAGATCTATATTGATTTCACAGACATTAACCGAGCCTGCCCCAAGGATAGTTTTCCTTTATCAAGGATAGACCACATCATCGATGCCACTGCAGGGTACGAGCTACTCAGCTTCATGGATGCCTTATCCAGATACAACCAAATAAAGATGCACCCAAAAGACAAGGAGAATACCTCGTTCATCACCGAGCATGACACTTACTGCTACAAAGTAATGCCCTTTGACCTAAAAAATGTAGGGGCCACCTACCAACGCCTCATCAACAAGGTGTTTAAAAATCAGATGGGGAGGAACATCAAAGCCTATGTGGATGATATGATGGTGAAGAACCTGAAAGTCAAAGCACACACCTCGGACCTGGCCGAGACCTTCGACACCTTGCGAAGGTTCAACATGAAGCTTAATCCCAACAAGTGTGCCTTCGGCATCACATCAGACAAGTTCTTAGGTTTTGTCATTACTCAAAGAGGCATTGAAGCTAACCCGGATATGGCACCCCCCCGGTCGGTGAAGGAAACTCAAAGACTCACCAGTCGAATAGCTGCTCTCAACCGCTTCATGTCGAAATCGGCTAACCATTGCCTTCCCTTCTTCCATGCCATCAAAAAGTTGAAGGATTTTTAGTGGATGGAGGAATGCCAACGTTCCTAACCATTGCTCATTATACCATACTTTTCACTATTATTTTCCTTCAATGGTTATTTGGTTCAGAGGAAAACTTCCAGAACCACCTATCCAGTAAAGCAAAGTTGAGATTCTTAATGTTTCATATGTCTATACCACCTTGGGATACATGTTTAAAGATTTGGTCCCAATTAACTGGGTGGTATTTGGATGATTCTTTCCAACCCAACTAGAGGAACTCTCTTATCTTCTCCAATTCTTTAGCTACTTCCAAGGGAACCAGAAATAAGGT